TTGTTTGGCTTTTTTTAGGGGGGGGGGGTGACAGTGTTTTTGTTGCTCCTTTGTGACAGTTTGGAGAACAAAATTGCTGCTGTTGGTACTGACTCTTTCAGCAGCCTTTCTACCGCTACTCCTTGGCTCCTTCTTACTTTTGTCTTTCAGCCACACCCCTGATCTCCTGGTAGGAAAGATCTACACCTAGCCTTCTCGGACAAAGGGGAAAATTCTCGGAGGTCCCGTGTGCAAGTTGCGCACGTTAAAGATTCCTCGGTGGTCCAAACATCGATCAGAGTAGGCTTCAGCCGTCACACGGGACAAATTCAAAATTTCCTACCAACCGAAAATGTTAGGTGTGTCCCTTGCGCTCATATGACCTTCTGCAATTGCGAGGGCAGTAAACACTTACCAAAAGAATAAGAAAGAATTAAAGGTTGCTGAACATGAATCTGCGATTACCTTAACGAAATTTGTCTTATAGAAGCAGTATGCAGAATACAACCTTTAACGAACAGTTTTCGTCGTCAAGGTCCTCGCGCTTTGCAAGGAATGACGAACGCTGTACGTCACAATAGCATCTTGGCTCCTTCGACGTGTGAGATTGTTAAATTAATGGCCATGAACGATGCACATCGTAGGCCCCTATAGGTCAAGAAGAGATTAATTCGCCTTTTCAACATCCTCTATCTACAACAACACAAGAAGCATTCCCCCCCAACCATCACTCAGCTTTTCATTTATAATCCAGGGCCAACCCAGCCTGACTAAAATGCAACGTGCCAGCAGACAGAAAACAAACCTCATACATCCCTACTCTAGAATCGAACTCATTTCTTATGCAGGCAATGGCGTAGAGCCTATACTGCTACGTCACAGGTACCGGTCTTCAATAAATATTGAAATTAGGTGTAGGCGCTTTTGCACCCCAATCTACACAATTTAGACTCTGTAGGAGGCGGGCTTCTGCAGTTTTAGTTTTAGTAAGCTTTTACAGAGCTCATTAAGCTGCATAATTAAATCAAATGAATACCAAGGGAGACAGAGATGTCCAAAGGGGGAATCGGGCTTACTCTGCTCACCTCTCTAGCTTCCACAGCACAAAGTCTGCTTCGACTATCAAGGCACCCCGGAAATAGGAGTTTGCAAGAGAGTGACAAACATACAAAAGAAGTAAAAGAAAAAATGACAATAGTAAGGACGAGGGAAGAAAAAGAAACATCCTGCTGTCTTGGCCAATCTGGGCGAAAAAAGAATATACAGTGAGCCAGCAGAAAGACCGAGGTACTCTTTAACCCTATCTGTACGCCCTGGGGTCATTTTGTTCCCTCGGTGCTGTATTCTTCACATTTTAGAATACTTCTCTTTCTAGAGCGAAGATCTCTTTGAAACTTTCAGTATTTCTCAAAAAATCGTTTTGACAGACTGCTATGCAAAGCGTATGGATCAGATAAACGAGTAAATTTCCTTTTTGGAAAGTGGTGGCACAGAGTTCCCCAAGTCGCATGGATACGATAGTAAAACATGACATGCGAATAGGGTTAAATATTCTCCCCACACGAGAATTGAACTCGGGTCTCCTTTGCTGTATTTGACAGCTATTTTCTCACTCATTTTTACTCTGACGTTAGGCTTTCCCCTGGGTATTTTCTTTTCTTTTTGACAAAAGGAAGACAAGTGAACAAGTTTTAAGATGATATCAATACCTTTATATGCCAAAAAAATTCAGAGCGGCAGAATCTACTGTGTTATGACACATTTTTTATTTATGAAAACTCTTCGAAGAAACTTTGCTCCTGCTTTAGTACCAATCAAGCTTTTATTCCTAATCAAAACAAATGCCATACATAAATCTTGTTCTTGTCAAGGTAACGTAACAATTAATTGATCATTCCAAATTAGTACGCTTTCTCACACCATAAATTCAAAGCATGTGTGCGTCATTTATAAATGCTTACATCATAAACTCAAAACTTTGGTATGTATTTTTATAAATACTTACATCATAAACTCAAAACACTTGTACGAGCACACAATTCATCGATGCTCACATCATAAACTCAAATGTGCCTTTAATCAACATTTCTTTAGTAACATCCACACACTTTCATGTAATTTTTTTTTTTAAATGCTCACATCAAAAACTTAAAACATTTTCATGTAATTTACAAATATGCACATCATAAACTGAAAACTTTGACATGTAATCTATAAAAGCTTATATTTATTATAAAAATTCAGAACACATTGATATGTAATTCATAAATGTAAAAAAAGACATACGGATAAATTTCTTACTGGCCCTTAAGAGAGTGGTTAAAACCCACAAAGGAAAAGTTTGGACAAGATGCAAAAAAGGGAATGCAAATTATTTGTTCATGATTACACTTGGCTGCAACAGCAATTAATAGTTAATTGCCAGCATCATTTTGTGCTCTTATATAATTTGTTGCAGTTGTTGTTGTTTTGCAGTTGTTGTTGATGTTGTTGTTTTTGCTTTTGCATAAATTGTTGTTAGTGTTGCTGCTGTGCTGTAGTTGTTGTTATTGTTGCTGTTCTTGTTGTGGTAGATCCAGCAAAATCTGGGCTCTAGCCCTTCTGTCCAATGCCAAGCATTGAGTAAATGTAGGTTTTCTGAAGTTGCTGTGAGATGTTCCACACAGTATGTTGACAATGTTAGGTCTCGGAGGAAGAAGTGCAGCTCTGAAGTCATTTAGGGCTGTGCAGTGGAACAGGTGATGATCTATAGTCTCATGATTTGTGTAGAAACACAAAGGACACACCGGGGGAAGTTCTGGTTTTGTTCTGTTTAAATCTCTCCCCCCACCCCATCCACCAACCAAGTTTTTTGCCCCCCCCCCCTTTCCCTTTTCAACACACACACAAAAAACCTACTGCAGTCGTAAAGAAAAAATTAAGCACCATGTTATAACATGTTAAGGTAAAAATCTTTGTTATTATTGTAAAGCACCAAATTAATCAGATTATAAAAAAAAAAGAAACAAGAAAGTTTAATAATAATAATAATAATAATAATAATAATAATAATAATAATAATAATAATAATAATAATAATAATAATAATAATAATAATAATAAATGGCAGTTGTATAGCGTATATCCCCGCTCAACAGCAGGCTCTATGTGCTTTCCACTATAAAAACAACAAGAAAGGTTTGACAAGTTAGTCAAGTTTGTAACCAACCCGTGTACGTCTAGCCAGGATGTCAATTTCAAACAAACAAAAACAAAATCAATAAATAAATTAAATCGAATTGCCAGCAAGCTGGTGGGATACACCAGGTCTAAAATTCGTATTTTTTAGATTGTAGTTTCTTTATCTCTTGTATCCATTGCATGTGTTCAAGAACTATTTTGTCAAAATTCAAATTTTACAAGTTGAAAGCAGTTTTAAAAAAGGTACATGAAGTAAATCACAATAGATAGTTAAAACAATTTTTTTAAAGCCTTTTTTCTTTAATGAGGAAAAATTATCTCTATGGAGTACTGATTTTATCTTGAAACCTGTTTATTCATTTTGCTTTTGATGAACAAAAATACCCATTTCTCTAACACAGAAGTCCAAATATTTGCAACTGAAGGAGGTAGGGGGTCACCAAGACGTGTCAGTGGTAATAAGAAAGATAAATGTCCGGCAAAGATTGGTGACTTCAAAAGCTTGAGTGTCTTTGGAAACTGCAAGTTTTTTTGTGTGCCTTTAATCACCATTTAATTTTTTTTTAGTAATATTCACAAAGAAATATGGTTTTAAACTGACACCAAAGAAGAAATTCAATAAAATTGTCAACGGGTAGAAAAAATGCCGGTTTTCTTTGATTTCATTTTTTGACAGGCGTCAAACAACACAAATCGTCAGAGTGGCAAGCAATCCATTAAGTCCAAATTTTGAGAACTAAAGAATTTCCCACCCTCCCAAAGCTCTATTAAAGCTGCACCTTGTAGAATCAGCAAAATGAAGTTTAAGGCTATGGTCAAGAAGCTACCAAACTTTGGAGGCCATTTGTTCGCTAATTTTACCTCTCTGAAACCAGGCGACCCTGACCTCCTTCAAATCGCAAATATTTCGACCTCTGTTCAGCATAGATGGATATTTTTTCACCAAAAGGAAGGAAAATGAACATGCTTTAAGATGATACCACTAACTCCGTATGCCCAAAAATTGACGAGCGCCTGATTCCACAAGGCTGTGACACGTGCAACATGTTCGGTTGTGGCCGACTGGTCGGAGAGTCTGTCACGTCTGCAGCTGTCCTCACAGGTGGCCGCCCTTGGTCCTGTGCTGAGCTGTAGCAGAAAGCGGCGGGAAATTGGAAGGTTAGGGGCTGGGCTGGGGTAGGTCCCTTTTGTCGCGGTTGGGGGGGGGGGGGCACATTAGAGAGAAACAGAAAGGAACGGGGAAGGGTGAGAGAGGGACAGAGAGAAAGAGTGAGAGAGAGAAAGAGAGAGAGATAGAGCGGGAAATAGGGAAAGATAGACAGACAGACAGACTGACAGATAAACAGACAGACAGAGACAGAGAGCATGTAACAGTATTGGATTTTATAAGAGTTTTACAGCACTTGCAACACATATCATTATTATATTGTACTGATAACACTTGTAGTTGGAAGAAGCCTCAACTTAGTACAATGGGATATAAATGTGTTTTTAGACCAGACATGAAAAATTAAACCTATGTTGCGAGGCCATGGCGTTCTCTACTAGTAAAGTACGCTATGTGCGAGGCGATATCCAAACTACCAACACACTGGCACCAAAACCTCCACCCTGCCTCTTCCAAGCATCCATTTCCAAAGCAACTCTCAAACATCTATCCTCCTTATCTCTCCTCCTTTTGTGTCTTTGCCACTCTCTTGTTATCACCTCAAGTCTTTGGCACTTATATTACACTAGCTGGGTACCCGTTTGATGAACGGACTCAAACTCAAAAGAATCGATCGCCAAGTCATTGTGGAACCAGTGCGCACAGCTTGTGAACGGAAGCCCCACTTGCTTACAACAGCGTCTTAGAAGTTGGACTTTCCCAAGATTAGATCTAAACAAAACTAATGAAAAACTAAAAATTAAACTAAAGTGACTTCAGACTCATTAACATAACTGTTCAAATGTTTCTGAACCACTGATAATTTTTTTCAATTCAAAAGCTAAGTGATTCGTAAGTTTTAGGTGACCAAAGTGACGAACCTTCACAAATATGATATAGATAGATTGTAGTGTTGATAGTGCCGTAAAACGCTACTAAAGCTTTAAAAAACTGCATTGTACTCCATAACAACATATCTAACCCCCCCCCCCCCCCACTACTTAACATTTTATTGATGTCTCATTGCTTTATAACCCTCCTACATCCCCCCGTCACAAAATTTGGAAAAAATGTTATCATGTATTTAAACATAAATTTAAACCACAGGGGAGGGCCCCTGAATGAAGTGGCTTTAGGCCATTCCCAAAGGGGGGAAATTAACATGTTCTTATGCCCCGTAAAAATGTAAATGGGCTGAATCATCAATGGCATGGTCATACTGGTCCGGAA